CTTTTTTTTTATCTTAAAGTAGTTTCAAAATTTTGTAAATTTTTTTCCATAGAAAAAAAAAAAAAAAGGAAACAAAAATAAAAATTGCGGCTTCTGCTAGTCAATTACTCTCACCATGTTGGACCTTTCCGCCTACTTGAACTTTTAGTGCTTATGATGTTGGAGGGCATAAGAATAGTTATGTTTTGAAATTAGATAATGTAAGCTCTAGATTTAAAAGATTTTTGATAAATGAACTAGCTCGATGCGCAGAATTTTTTTGCTTTTTTCTAAATAGTCATGTGGTACTCCAGGGACCAAGAGGTTCAAGACCTATTGACACGTAGATGAAAAAATAAACATTCTGATTCGCGCTGAACCATCGCGCTAAAAGCGTGAGATTTTCTCTAGTTTCTAGATGTAGCTGTTATTTCTCAGACGATTAAGATTCGTATGGATTAAATACTGATTCTTTTTTAGCAAAATCTCACACGTTGCAGAGGTGTGCCCTATGAACGCACATGTCTTGCTTAATCGTAATCTCATACATTATTTTTTTTTTTTTTTATTTTCGTTAATCAGACTAAAAAGTTTGATGAAATAAAAAAATTTGACCAAGTTAATGCGTGAAATAAGCTTCTTCTCTGGTATACAAAAAATTAAAATTTTATCTCCAAGTAGTTCAACTTTAAACGATCAAGAGTTTGACTGAGTATTCGAGCTCAACGCATGAGACCCTCTCACATTCTGGTTTTCTTTATCAGGCGAGGCAGGTTAAAAAAAATTTGAATTGAATTGTTTCTCTGTGAAATTTACTGAGAAAAAAATATGCTCTGAATAAGCGTAGTGGATGTGCGTAATCATTTTTGAAAAATCAGATATCCGGTTAAAATAATTCGGCCTTGCTATTTGAATTTTGCGCTGGTACGGTAACTAATCAAATCTCTGCAGTCGGTAACCTTGTCTCCTGGCATACCTATTACCACCTTCTCCGTAAAAGAGTATAGCTATGCGTAGTCGCCCGTCCACAACGCTTAGCCCCCGCCTCCTGGGGCTAAGTGCTCTGTGATTGGAGGAATTGATCGATTATTAAATCAACAATATCTCGTTAATTATCCATCGAATCCAAATTTTGTATAAAGCTTTTCGAAAGCTCTTGATAAGCTTTATCTCGTTGTATAGTTTTCCGGGCTCAAAATCAGAACGCCCTGTATAGGTCGTAGTGACAAAAATATAAAATCATATCCTCCTCACCCAACACTGTTTGGCAAAGGCAAAGAGGATCTTCGCATACACCCCCCCCCCTCCGCTATCAGATCTCTCCGTTGGTAAAGTTCCAAAGCCCATCAGAACAGAGCTACAGCAAAAGTATGGGGGAAGACTTATTTCTCTTGTGAATAAAAATGCAAGCGACTATCCTCACACAACCCTGGGCAATTACTCGTTGCTTCAATTATTCATGAGACATAAAATAAAAATATAACGCCAATCCCCACACAATCCAGAGCGCTTACTAATCACTTTAATTATCCATAATATATAAAATAATAACGCAAGCGCCTATCCCTACACAACCCAGGGTGCTTATTGGTCGCTTACTCAATTTATTGTAAATAAAGTAATAACGCAACCACCTATTTCCACACAACCTGGGTCCCTTACTGGTTGCTTTCATTATTGAAAAAATAAATATAATAACGCAAGACCAATCACCGCGCAACCCGGGGCACTTACTAGTTACTGTGATTATTCATAATAAATAAAATAATAACACAAGCTCCTATCCCCACATAACCCACGCAGTGTGCCGAGATCATGCTGAGAACTCGCGCACACTTGTGCGCAGCCGGCCTCCGATTGGCCGAGCGACTGCGCGTCGTCTGAACGTCCGAAACTTAAAGACACAGCGCTCAAAGCCCGAACACATGAAACCCAAATGCCTAATCCCTAACGACCCAGTGCGCTTACTTGGCCGCACTTTTTTTATTTATTGGTAAGCAAAATCTCAAGTGGCTAAACCCCAACGACCCAGTGCGCTTACTTGNTCAAAGACACAGCGCTCAAAGCCCGAACACATGAAACCCAAATGCCTAATCCCTAACGACCCAGTGCGCTTACTTGGCCGCACTTTTTTTATTTATTGGTAAGCAAAATCTCAAGTGGCTAAACCCCAACGACCCAGTGCGCTTACTTGGCCGCACTTTTATTTTATTTATTGGTAAGCAAAATTCCAAGCGGCTCATCCTCAACGACCTAGTGCGCTTACTTGGCCTCACTTTTATTTTATTATTAATTACTAAAATTCCAAGCATCTAATCCCAAATGACCCAAAGGGATCACATACCACGATTTATTATTAATTTGAATATCAAATCGATTTCGGTTGATATACAAAATTAATAACAAAGAAAAGGAAGTCTCAGCATAATCTGGAGTAGGCCGAACTTACAGAATCATAACGACTCTGCAGTCACTGCATGAGATTTCATATACGACGTTAGTATTATCCAAAGCATGAGTAGTATCTTTTCCCAACTGTACAATATGATTCAATTTTTTGTTTATTCTTGGAATTACTTGTATATTGAATTTTTTTTAAAAACGTATCTTACCAAAATTATTTAGAAAAAATGGTAAGCTTATAATGGTTTTATTTAAAGGTAATTGCTCTGGAATTTTCTCTGTAACATCATTATTGATATTACAAAGTCTTTTCTTAATATGTTTATTAATATAATGCTTAGGATAGCCATTCTCAAGCAGCATGTTCTTTACAATTTTCACGTTTTCATTATGAAATGAACTGTCAAAGAGTGAAAGAGTCTTATGGACTCCCGAAAATACATAAAAAAAGATATTCATCTTAGACCAATTGTTTCATTAACTAATACCACAACCTAGCCGACTGAGCCACCGTGCGGCGCGTGCTCTCGCATATTTAGATATCATGCAAGAAGAATCTAGATTTGTTCAAGTCCATTTCGGTTCGGTTCGATTCTCTTAACAAAACATACCTATATATGGGTGATTCTGCCGTAAGTTGCTCGGATCGACTTGAAAAATTTTTTTAAAAGATGTTGTAGAAAAAAAATTTTTCTATGGTATTTCTATAGTACAGAACATCAGGAACAAATATATAAGGCAATGCAACTATAAAGTTTGCTGGTAAAAAGTTATACGAAATTTTATAAAAGTCAGTTTTCATCGATTTTTAAAAAATTTTATCACTCTCTAGCACGTGTAGCTAATCTCCTTTCACAGTTCAAGTGCTCTAACTAAACTTAAATAAAAGCTCGATTTAAGACCTATTGATTACAAAAAATTTTGTTCGATTATGTGCCTCCATTCAAAAGTTATAGCCGTTTCAATTAAAGCGTAAATATCGCTAATAATGTGATTTTGGCTAAAATTAAATATTTTTCATAGAATCACTACAACTTTCCGTTCGGGGCATAAAATTCAAGATTTTTGTTTTAATAATTAGGACTATGTTTTTGCTTTCGTTTAAGCCCAGATAAATCCACCTCATAGAGTGCACCACTTGGCTACCAACGTTGGAAGTAACACCACAGTTTTGCATTAATGTAGCAAAAACGGGCAATTGGACATAACCCCGAGACATATGTCTTTTAGCTCAGCAGTGATGAAAAAAAAGTTTGGCTGGGATTGATTGCTCTATGAATCGAAAAAAACGACACTTTGAGGTGAAGTAGGGTCGGAATGAAAAAGTTCGGAATGGAATTTTTAAAGTTTGTAGTACTCGTACGAGTCATGGACGCATTCCATGACTTGTCCACCCATAATTTATTAAGTAGCCTCAAATGCAATAAGAAACTGTAGTTAGCGTACCTGTACACGCTCACCAAGTGGTTATTTCATAGGGGTCAGAACGGAATGAAATGTTTTTACACGCAAAATACTCAAAAAGAAGAGCTTGGCTATTCGAGAGGTAACAACTCCAGGTAGTACTGTCGTAAGGATTTATTCGTTTTAGTCCTATACTATGGAAAGTGACCATTGATTAGCATTTCCAATCCAAGAAGTTATTAGTTTGAACTGATTTTTGTTGAAACCATGATTATGGTGCAAATATGTGGAAAAAATGTATGCAGTGAAAACTCACTCGTCTTTGTCGATCTTTGGTGTGAATGAGATACAAATCTAATCACCAATAGCTAGAGTGTATGATGCTTACGCACCCAAGTGGCATATAAGCCATATTGTTTACCGCTGAAAGCTCTCATTAGTGAAATTGAGTTGCGGACATAGGTCGGAATGGAAAATTTGACTCTAAATGATCAATTATTTTAATAAAGGGATCGATACATCGATAAGATCGAAGATATTCGTATAAAATAATGTCAAGTAAAGTCGACATCATTCAACACAATATAAAGTTTTTAAAGTTTTGGATTTCATTGCGGCACGTGAATATGAGTAGCGGGCCCAACCTGAGCAAGTTATAGCAGAATCACCCATTTTCAGAACCAGTTTTAATAAATTTGCGTAATTTTCTATGAGAAAGGAACCGAAGCAAAAGGGGTTTCAGCGAATCTAGACCAACCTACCGACCGACTGATTACAAAAAAAAGTCTTTACTTTTTTNGCTTGCTATTATTTAGAGTTAAATTATCTGCATTATTGTTAAAAATTTTAATTGGTTTAGTAGAGAACTTATCCAATAAATTGTTATTACCCTTAATGCACTTTTTATGATAAAATACCTGCAAGTGTTTAAGTTTCATGAAAATCATATGGTAAATTTCAACACTGTAGAGACAACTTATATTAATCACAATACTTACGCCCATAAGTGATAGATGTGGATGAAATATATCTAGAAATATTGACTTTAATGATACTGGAAAACTTTTGTGTCAAAGTAGTCATTGTACTAATAAATTTAGTTAATTTTCTGCTATGGTTAGTAGCCCTGAGCCATAAGCACTTATAATGTATGACTTTGTAAGACAATACAGTTTGTTAAATTATGCTTCGATGTCGTATTCAAAGAATGCTTCAAATATAATCATAGAGTGACGCAACGACTAATTTTAGTGCATAAAAAAACGTGAGTAACAAACGAAGTTTGATCTGAGTTTAAGCAATCAAAATAAACTCTATCATTGATTCACCAGGACCACACGTTTGCACAAAAATAATACTTAGAGATTAAGTTACAATTTTAATCAATAATAATAAACATACATTTACAGTAAATTTGATGTCAAAAGTTAATTTACCAGTGTACATCAATCATGTAGTACATGATGAGCGCTTTCTTCGCCTTCAAAACAAAGGGCTATGGATGACCTGACCGCTGCATGTCGAATACCGACTGCAGATGGCGCTCAAGGCGGGTGAAATCTGTGGGACAGTGTTGATAATCAGTGTTGGCAACAGTAGTAGGTAAGGAGGATACATAGAGGTATAAAAATATTCTTATACTTACCTCTATAAAAGGATATGCTTTTGCATTTTTATCACTAGGACCTATATATAGCTTCAGATCCTAGTGAGAAAAATGCAAAAGCTGAATAGGAGGAGGAAGGAGGTCAGTGGTTTCCCCAAATGTAACTGGCAAAATTCCAAAAAATTCAAATTAGCTATATGGAGCAAGACGCAAATCCCCAGATAACTCGAGACAATTTCATGCACCATAACTTAATAAACTAATCCCAAGCTAGTCAACCCAATAACCCAATAGGCCAGTAAGCAGCCTCAAAAGTTTGAATAACTAATGAAATTTACTAATTAACAAAGCAATCGCCAATCCCCACAAGACCCAAGGCACTTACTGGTTACTTTGATTATTTATGATGAATAAAATAATAACACAAGTGCCTATCCCCCCACAATTAGGGGCGTGTATTGGTCGCTTACTTTATTTACTATGAATAAAATAATAACGCAAGCGCCTATTCGTATACAATCTGAGGCACTTACTGGTCGTTTTAATTATTTATGATTAATAAAATAATAACGCAAGTGACTATCCCCACACAACCAGGGGCGTTAAATGGTCACTTACTTAATTAACTATAAATAAAATAATAACGCAAGCGCCTATCCCCACACAACCAGGGGTGGTTACTGGTCACTATAATTATTTGAAATCGATTGAATAATGCAAGTCTCCCGAGCCATGTGGGGATTAGCGTTTACATTATTGTATTTATTGTAAATAATCAAAGCAACCAGTAGGCACCCCGGGTTGTGTGAGGATAGGCGCTTGCGTTATTATTTTATCAATCATAAATAATTAAAACGACCAGTAAGCGTCCCGGGTTGTATGGGGATATAGGCGCTTGCGTAATTATTTTATTCATCATAAATAATCAAAGCAACCAGTAAGTGCCTTGGGTCATGTGGGGATGGGCGCTTGCTTTGTTAATTGATAAATTTTATTAGTCATTCAAACTTATGAGGCTGCTTATTGGCCCGTTGGATTATCGGGTTAAATAGCTTGGGACTAGTTTATTAAGTTATTATGCATGAAATTGATTCGAGTTATCTGGGTATTTGCGTCTTGCACCTCATAACCAATTTGAATTTCCCGCAAGTTTGCCAGTCACATTTAAGATGAACCACTCCTCTTTACTCCTATTCAGCTTTTGTATTTTTCTCACTAGGATTTGTAGCCATATGTAAACAGGGCGTTCTGATTTTGAGCCCGGAAAACTATACCACGAGATAAAGCTCATCAAGAGCTTTCGAAAAGCTTTCTACAAAATTTCGATTCGATGAATAATTAACGAGATATTGTTGATTTAATAATCGATCAATTCCTCCAATCACAGAGCACTTAGCCCCAGGAGGCGGGGCCTAAGCATTGTGGAGGGGCGACTACGCATAGCTATACTCTTTTACGGAGAAGGTGGTAATAGGTATGCCAGGAGACAAGGTTAGCGACTGCAGAGATTTGATCAGTTACCNGAACTACACAAAGCCGCACCAGGGTTGTCGGGAAAGGTCCAGGTGATGAAATAACTTACATAAACGCGTTGTTGTGAATGCTTAAGTAATATATTAGTTTATAATCATAAAAAAAAAGGTTTTACAAAGATTAGAAAACGTTACAGGATCGCCAACCGTCATTTACCATCTCATCCACACACCCACTCATATCTCGCGCGCCCAACGGTTCTTCCTTCCACTCCGCACACACTTCGTCGAGCTACCATTCTCAACCGCACCGCAGCGCCACCGTCGGGAGCTAGGTTCTCTCACTCTCTCTCTTACTTACATATTCAGACACGTTCACTCTATCCTTAACATTCGGCCATCCTGATTTATTTGTGTCCTTACAAATTTTATTTAGTTTCACTTACTTTTTTTTTTTTTTTTATTACAGTATTTACGATTAAATTCTTATTTATTACACTTGTCTTTAAATTATTTTATAAATCATAATTTTCTAAATATTTTGGTTAATTTGGTCGTTTGGTTAATTAAAAGTTTGGTCGCTTAATAGTTCGCTTCGGGCGGATTTTAACAACTTCATCTCGTTTTACAGATATCTTTTTTGTTTTATTGTCTTTATCATCGCTTTTACAACCTGAGCATCAGTGAGGGTGGTATCGACGCTTAAGTTATCAAGTTGGTTTGCACAAATTATAGTCGTATCCACCTCATCCTCTACGTCACTTGGTTTGTCAAGTTGATTTTCATACCTGAGGGAATCATCTTCGCGACTGACTCCTTTTGTGTAATTTTCAGCATCAATACTTTCATCATCGCTTTCGTCTACATCATTTGGAGTAGCGCCTGTCCAAATTTTAAGCTGAGAAATATGCGCTGTCGTTTGAAAGGTTCGATTTGTCGATTCATTTAAATTCCTAACAGTATAAGTATCACTAGGCCCTACATGAAGAATTACGAGCGGTCCTCCAAACGCAGGTTGCAACTTCGTTGACATCCCGGTTGCTACTGGATTTCGCTTCATAAATACAATGTCACCTATCGCGAATTGTGTGTTTATTTTTCGATTTTTGTCGTAGCGCGCCTTATACCGTTTTTGTTCGTTAAATATTCGCTAGCGAATTTGCGCTTGTATTTCACTCGGCGGTACGTATTGCTCGCATGTCTCGGTTAAAAATCGCGCTCGTCCGTCGTTAAAGCGAGGTAAATATCCGAGCAAAGCCTCGTATGGCGTTTTACCTATCGCTGCACTTACTGTAGAGTTTATATCTCGCTCAATGTCTTTAATACATTTATCCAATAATTGCTCATCTTGCTGTGCTACAATTTTCATAGCAGAAATCAGTGTTTGATTCAGCCGTTCTATTAAGCCATTAGCTTGAGAATGTCTACTTGAGTTTAGGGTGTAAATTATACCATAGACTTCACAAAATTTTTGAAACGTGTGAGACGTAAAGCTCGTTCCGCGATCCGTAACAATTCTGTTTGGTGCTCCGTATAAATTCACAAATTCGCTCATTTTCTTTACAGTCGCTTGCGCAGTCACATTTTTAACGGCCGATAAAAATACAATTTTCGTTAGGTTATCAATTAGACCTAATACATATTTGTTGCCTTTTCGCGTGGTTGGAAAAGGATCCACATGATCTGCATGAACGAGTGTAAACGGTTTCTTCCCGGGCGGGATTGGATGCAATTCCCCCTCTCCCGGACCTGATTTTCTTTTTGCCAGTATGCATTTTAAGCAGTTGCGTATGTGTACTCTAACATATCGTCGCAGCTTAGGAAAAAAATAATATTGCTCGATATTTTTCGCCGTTTTCTCAATACCAAAGTGACTCTTGCAGTCGTGATATCTAATTACAAGAGATTTTCGCATCGCTTTTGGAACAACATAAAGCTCGCGCGTATAATTGTGTTGAGTGACTCTCTTGTAAAGAATACCATCGCGCAGTATAAAGTCTTTAACTTGTCCCATTTCTCCGCGAGTACGATCTGATTTTTTTTTTTTTGCAGTATATTAATTGTTTCCGCAATTTTCGGATCCGATCGCTGAAAAATGAGAACTTCGTTTTCATCCGTCTCAATGCTTAACACATCGATAATATCTTCCGATACTGGGGCTCGTGATAACGCGTCCGCGTGCTGCATTTGTTCACCACGTCGGTGCTTAATTTCCAAGTCATATTCAGCTATCTCACTCATCCATCGCACTACTTGGGCGTTTTTAGTTTTCCACGCATTCAAATATAAGATGCTCTGACAATCAGTTAACACGGTGAAATTTAAACCAATCAAATAAGGTCTCAGACGCTCAAGAGCCCAAGCGATCGCTAAAAGTTCAAGCTTACTCGAGTGATATTCCGCTTCCGTTTCCGAGGTACTTCGACTAATCGCGTATACAAGTCTAAGAGGCTCGTCGACAGTATCCGACTATAGCAGCAGCGCACCTAGTCCAAGCGAAGACGGATCTGTGTGCAGTTCCGTTCTCGCTGCACGAGGATTAAACATTTTTAAAACCGGCTCAGATAAAAGTCTCTGTTTCAATTCAATGAAAGCTGTATCTTGCTCTTTCGTCCACAGAAACTCAGCATCCTTCTTAAGCAGATTTGACAGAGGACGCGCTATAGCCGCAAAGCCCGGAACGAATCTTTGAAAGAAACTAACAAGCCCTAAGAACCGTCGAATGTCTCGTTTATTTCTCGGTTGAGGATAGCTTTCTACTGCCTGTATTTTTCGGTTGCCTGGCTTAACTTGCCCTTCACCAATTTTAAAACCTAGGTTTTTTATTATTTTCTGTTCGAAATGACACTTTTTTAAGTTTAACGTCAAGCCCGCTTCTTTAAGAAGTTTTAAAATCTCTTCGATATTTGCTAACAACTCTTCCCAAGTTTTTGCGTAGATACAAATATCGTCGAAAAAGTTAAACGCGATACCACGTTTACGCGCCGTTCCGAGAACTCGATCCATAAGCTTGGCGAAGTATCGGGGAGCGTTTGCCAAACCGAACATGGCTCTTTCGAACTGCCCCGTTTGAGTCTCAGTAATAAATGCCGTTAACTCTTTAGCTTTTTCCGTAAGCGGCATTTGCAAATACCCGCAAGCTAAGTCTAATTTCGCGAAAATTCTTGCTTCTCCGAGTTTCTCGATTAGGTCGTCAAAATTTGGAAGTGGATGGTGTATTACTTTCGTCGCTTTGTTTAATTTCCTATAGTCTACAACCATCCGTGCGGAGCCGTCACTCTTTCGTACGACAAACGCCGGACTTGCATACTCAGACACAGTTTCTGTAACAATACCAGAACGCTTACACTCATCTACAAGCGTATCAAGATCTTCTCTGTCGCC